TAGATATTATAATAATAAAAATATATAGATATTTTATAATATATTAAATATATATGTATATATATTAATTTATAAAATAATAATTTATTATATTATAAAATATTATATAAATATAAAAAATAATAAAATATATAATTATTTATTTTATATAATTTATATACTATATATATGATATATAGTATCATATATATATATATATATATATATATATATATATATATATATATATATATATATATATAAAAAATAAATGTATAAAATATATAATATATAAGAAGTTTAAAGAGAAGAATTTTGTACATAATATTTATATATAAATAAATATATACATATATATGTTATGTATCTATACAAGATGAAATAAAGATGAAATAAAATAGAGTTGGTTAGCTAAGAAACGATCAAAATAGATAATACCAATTTTAGTTTCAATATACGAAGAGAGAGTAATTTTGATGATAACTATGGGAATGAACTATGGGGAGGAAAATATAGTTACATTTAATATCGTTTCAAGTGTCTAATCTTTTTACTGATAATTATGATTTTTCACGTATATAGATTTACTTAATACGTGTTTTAATGTATCATTTAAACGTGGGATATAAAAAAAATAAATGATACTTTACAAAAGATAAGTGCCTTAGATGAAAAAGAGATATAAAATAAAACATGATTTTTATCCGACGGCAAATAAAAATTTTAGAGTTAATAGGATTAGATATGCATCTAATGAACAAATTAATTTATCTAATTTAATAAACAACATTTTTCTATATTATTTTTTATAAATGATAAAAAAAAAGTATGATATACATATATATATATATATATTTTTTTTTTAAATAATATGAAACATTGATTCTAAATACGTTTGATTCTAAATACGTACTTACGGGAAATTAATTTTTACAGGAAATTAATTTCTACAGGAAATTACATTGTACTAATTGAGTTTAAAGTTAAATAAAATTTCCTTAAAAGCCAATTTTCATTATTTTCACAGTGAATGACAACGAGAATGCCTATCTTCGGAATAAGAATGATTTATGTTCTCATTTTACAGTTCCTGATTTTGGTCTAAACTAGTTTTTTATTTTCAAAAGCGTCACGCATACTTTCATATTTGATTGATACATAGAGGATCGTGTTAAACGAGTAATAATAATTTAAAAAAAAAAATAAAAGAAAAAAAAAATAATAATAATAATTGTAGAAAAATCAAACGCGTGTGATATTACATTTCTTGCAAGTTTATTCATCCGAAAAARAGGGTTTTAATTATTTTACTTTTTTTTTTTTAAATTACATACATTTGTACAATAATTTAGTTTATCAAACAACAATGGCAATAACAATTATATAAAAAATATAATATATAGAAGTTTATTTTATACATATTATTTATATATATATTTATATATTTTGAAATTTATGAAAAAAAAATTTTTAATTATATTTAAGAATTTTTAAATTATTTTAAATTACATTTTTTAAAATTTAATAATTTAAAATAAAAATAATAATAAAATATATAAAAAAAATTTATATGTAAATATATACATATATAAAATTATAAAAATTCAAATATATATATATAAAATTATAAAAATTAAATTGTTAATTAAATTTAATAATTTTTAAATTATTTTAAATTACATTTTTTTAAATTTAATAATTATGAAAAAATATAATAAAATAAATTATATTAAAATACATACATAAATACACATACATAAAATATATTTATTTATATATAAATAATACGTATAAAATAAACTTCTACCTAAGAAAGGAAGGAAGGAAGGCAGGAAAGCAAACGCATTATTTTTGATTTCATTTTCGATAGATCGAAATAGAAATAGAAAAAAGAAAGTTAGTCGTGATTTTCTTTGAATGAAATGGATATGTGTTGTTGTCGACAAGTACTAATAATAATACACAAGCCTTTTATATTCGTTTTGAGAACGAAGACGCGTTAAGTCGATGATCAGGTTGGCAGGTGCGAAACGCAGATGGTCAAAGAACGTACAATAATAATATAGAATTTATAGAGAGGTGTGCGAGTATTTCTTATAAAAATAAGAAAATAAGATTTAGAAATATACATTTTACTTTTGATAGAACTAACAACGTTTATAAAAACAAAACATTATCAAATTTTAATTCACTTTCTTTCCCCTTCCCCCCCCCCTACCCCTTCGTACCTTTTTCACCCTTTTCTAATTTCATTAGAACAATCTACTCATTTAAATTTAACGATTAATATACTTTGTAATAATTAACGAAAAAATTTGTTGTTGATCGAGGATAAAGGAAAAAACTTTTTTGAAATCTAATTAATCGATTATCGAATCATCTTGTAAGATAAATAACATTTTGTTTTTGATCGTGTATCTCATTAATTTCTACAAATTTGAATTATCTAGATAATAATTTATAGAAACTGTATATTGATATTTTACTTTACAATCTAAAATATTTGAACGTTTGATCATCTTAACAAACCCCCCCTTCCACCCCACTCCCACCCCTCTTAAAATATTGCACGCATTCTATTACCGTGTTTTGACAGTAAATCACACGTGCAGATAATAAAGTTGAGTATTTAACGACGAATGAAAAAGTAAAATAGATTGATTGTTTTTAAAGATGTATTGGAAAATAAAAAATTCATTTTCACGTGAATCAGGGAAGAAATAATTTGGCGGGATTTTTGAATGATTTTGTATAATAGTATTGGACGACAGTAAAAAATAAAATGAAAAACTTAAACGAAAGTGAAACTGATGATTGAATTACATACTGTCAATGGGAATAACTTAGTAATAATAATTGTAAGACATAAAATCTAACAATGCAAAGTTTTCCATGATTTTTGTAAATAGACACACGATCCTTGAGACAAAAAAAAACATAATAAAATGGTAGAAACGAAGCTTAATTTGAAGATGTTAAATTACAATAATCGAATCATCTAGTAAAATAAATAACGTTTTATGTTATTTTGATGGTGTATCTGATCAATGAACCTTCCATGTGATTTTTGTACATAGACAAACGATTCTTAAGACTACAACAAAAATAATAAATGAAAGAAACAAAGCTTGATTTGAAGATGTTAAATTGAAATAATCGAACCATCTCATAAGATAAATAATAAGGTTTTATATTATTTTTATGGTGTATCTGATCAAAATGAACCTTCCATGTAATGTTTGCAGATAAACACGCGATCCTTGA